ATAAACACACACTTAACATAAACTCCCAACTACACCACTGCAATACTTTTACCCCAAATCAACCAAATAAACACGGGTATTCTTCCGGTTGTCAAACGAATTAGGCTACTAGCACTTAGCTTCAACACTGAACTTGAGAAAATAAACACGGGTATATTCTTCCGGATTTCACAATCTAAACTAATAAAACAAATCAAGGATGATAGAAAAACAAAAAAGATTCTCTCACATGGTATCCTCGTGTTAGATCTCCTCCATCTCTCTCACTCACGCGAAACTGAAGTGCGCCGTCTCTCACCGAACTCTCCCGCAACGTTTTTCTTTCCGTGCTGAAAGCTGCAAACCCGATGCGTGAACGACGCACAAAACTTTCGTCACCGAGCTGCTCCTCAAAATGTCCGTGAATGTTGACTGATATCAGTGTTCTCAGAACGGTGAACTTCACTGACCAATTTCGGGGGGGAAAAAACAACAACAACTCTGTTTCCTTTTTTATCTCTGCCCCCCCCCCCCCCCCCCTCCCCCTCATGAAAGAAAGAAATAAAGTCGATCTTCACTTTATTTGAGTGTATTTCATCAGACTCAAATACAAATAATTCTCTTCTCATAAAAAAACCCAAAAGTTATTTAGAAACCCAAACATTTATCCAGGTCTCTACAATAAAATATACTTTTCTTTTTTATAGAGAGTTGCAGTTCAGATAGTATTGAAGAGATTCAAGGGAAAGCAGATGAGATAAGAGAGAAAGATGAAGGAGAGGTTAGAGCCAATGAGGAAGAAAGTGAGATGAGTCAGGAAATGCAAGGAGACATTAGACCAAGTGAGGAGGAAGGAGGAGAGATAACAGAGGAAGGCGGTGCAGAAGCAGATACTGAATATCAGGTTCTGAGTTCAAAAGCAGAAGTTTACCCATCCTTGATGGCCTTACAGTTTCCAACAGACCCAGCTCATGTTGATCAGCATCAAATTAAAGTTGATAGCAACTATATACAGTTCTGCTGCTGTCTTGGACCATAGCCGCGTTTCCACCGCAGGAACTTTCCCCAGGAACTAGGAACTTTGGGGTGGTACTCGGTGTGTTTACACCGCAGGAACCAGGGTCTAAATGAAGTTCCGGGTACAAATCCCCCCCCCCCCCCCCCTGCTGTCCCTGCTGGCGAGGTAGTACTTTTTCAGAGTTCAGGAACTTTCGGGGCGGGACTTGTGCGCTGAACATGCTGACTGGTTGAGCTCACGTCACATTTGATTGGTTGACTCCACACAGCATTTTATTTTAGCCGCCATTTTTAAAAACCGCGCTTCCTGGCTTCGTGCAGTAAAGAGTTGTCGGGAAATTAATATGGAGTTTACCAAAAAATACGACCGCTGGACCGACGACGAGGTCCAGGCTTTAATAAGCGTATTTGCGGAAGAAGAAATCCAGCGGGAACTGGAAACGGCAATCCTAGGGCTGTCAACTTTAGTCGTTTAGTCGACTAATCGGTCGATGCCGTCTTGGTCGACTGACATTCTTATTGGTCGACCAGTTGCATTTTTTTTTAATTTTTTTTACCAATAGAAATAAATTTTCAATGATTTACTCCTTTATATTTATTTCTTTATAAGCAGTTATATATTACTGTATCTGTATTCTAAATATAATTAGCCTATGGTTTATCCCCAACTTTAAATGCTTTAATTTAGGCTATTTTGTAACAGCGCCACAGTTTAGCGCACACACATAGAACACTCGGTTCGCACCTAGCTGTGGCTGCGCTGCGCTGCTGCTTCGTGCTCAGTAAGGTAGGTAGGTAGTTCAGCTGTATTCATTCAGTTAGAACGCTACTTGTTTCGGTTATGTTTTTATACACTATATGTTTTTATCTCGATGCGGCGTGGACGCACTTGGAAAAAAAAGAGCGCGACCGCGTTGCTTCCATCATAAGCGCGCACACACGCGCCTACATTTGAAATCGAACTTGAGCGCGCAAAAGACGTGAGCAGTCCCTTTAACGGCTTTATCACGCTGACTCAATAGATTGTGTTTTCCTGATATGTTTTTGTTTTTATTTGTACACTTGACACGTTTGAAAATAGCCTAAATAATGTAACAAAACGAAAATAAACCTATATACGGTCCTACAATACAGCCTATTATTATTAGGATTGTAGGCTCTTTGTTTTTTTGTGTGTGTTTGTTTTAAAACTCCTAGATCGGCTGGACAAAAGTTAACCCATAGCTTTGAAAGTAAAGAAGAATATACAGCCTGTATAAACGAGAGCTTTTGTTAGGATTTTTCATTGTGGCAGATAGCAGTTATATATTTTTGTAGCGTGTGGTGTGGTCAGGTGCGCGATTGTGACTGTTACTATAGACCTAGGACAGTGCTCCTCACTTTTTGCAGTTAAAAAAAATCACTTAATTTTCAAAGAATTGTATTATTATAGTTTTATGTATTTTTATGTTTTTCGTTGTTGTTTTATAAATGCTCTATGACAATTGTTAAAAAACGTTCAATCAAAACATTGCGTTTTTTTTTTTTAGTCGACTAATCGTTGTGCAGGACAAGACTTTGGTCGACTAAGGATTTCTTTGGTTGACTACAGCCCTAGGCAATCCGCAATGAAAAGGTATACCTGAAAATATCGAGTCGGTTACACGAGCTGGGCATTGTTCACACTGGAAAACAGTGCAGAGAGAAGTTAAAAAAAATTAAAACAAGACTACAAAAAAGTCAAGGATCACAACAATAGAAGCGGATCCGATCGGCGTACTAACAAGTGGTTTGACCGCCTGGACGCATTGTTGGGACACAGGCCGCCATTCTCTGGAGCAGCGGTGACAAAAGACTCGGCAATTGCATTTTTGGAATCCATTCATGATTCTGAGGACCAGTCGGTTGAAGGTAAATTATCACACCTCTACATGATATTGTCTTTAACTCTTTGCAGTGATAAAACAAACTAACTTTTTTCAACGTGTTTTTACAGATGAAATGAATGGCCCCAATGATGTGCAGGCAACAGAGACCAGCGTGTTTTCCCCTGCAATCACCAGTAGCCCTCGTCCCATGTCTTCCGCCGAAACACACACACGACGAGGTATTAAACAACGTTGTCTATTGATAAAAATATACTTCAAAACTAGGGGTGTGATAATATACCGTGCAACAATATATTGCAATACAAAAATGCAACAATACGTATCGTGGACAGTTCACCCAAAATAAAATTGCTGTGTGAGAAAAAATTTCAGGTTTTCTGAGTTTTTTAGTGTCAGTACTACATTAAAATTATGTTGATATTAATGTATAATATAATGCAATGGGGGAATATTTGTGGGTCCTAATAATGCCAAACATCTATGTTACCAATGTTAAGCATATTTGTCTAAAATAATTCAGTATTTTCAGCTTCAGAATTATGTTTATTCTGGTGTCACCATTGTCCTTGAGTTACAAGCACCAAGTCCAAGCTTATTCATTTAAACCCACGATGTAATATCAAAGTTAGCATTTTAATCAACAGTACTTTTTGGTTAACCTTTTATCATATGTCTTGGGAGTATCGCAATGACATTGTATCGTGATATGTATCGAATCGTGACACGAGGGTATCGTTACACCCCTATTCAAAACTGACCTAATTGTAATCCTAATGGTTTTGAGTCATTGAGTTATTTTTTTTTATTGCAAACCTAAATGGCCCATGATAAAAAAATATGGAGCATGATGGCAAAGTTTTAAATTTAATATTTTGTAATGAAAACACTTAAAATCCGTATTTTATGGTTTTCAGGGTGGGCTTGTGTATTTATTGTCATGTGTTTCTCCACTTAGGGAAGAGGAAAAGGGATTGTGACTTCCTTGATGCGCTGAGGGACATGGAAGATTCTAACCGGACCGCCCTGCAGCTTGGACAAGAACAGCGTGACAAATATATGCAGCTGTTACTTGAGAGCCAGGCTGAGGAAAGAGAGATGAGGAGGCAGGAGTTGGCGTTCCTACAGTCGGAAGCTGAAGAAAGCAGACGGCAGCAGAGGGACTTTCAGGCCGGGTTTCTGTCTGTTCTTGGACAGTTTGCCCAGTCATTCAAAAAGTAGCCACTTGAACTCTGAGATTGCACTTTAAATTGAACATTTGCCTTTTTTATTTTCTTTGCACAATTCTATTTTTATATATTGTTTGCATTCCTGCAGAGGGCCAGGTTTCTGTCTGTTCTTGGACAGTTTGCCCAGTTGTTCAAAAATACATTTGTATTTGTTTTTCTTTACACAATATATTACTGTTCTCGTAATTTATTTCTTTTCACATGATTGTATTTTAAAATATATATATTTAGTAAGCAGTACTTGCCTTGTGTTAAATAAAGTTTGTAAAATGTCACTTTGAGATCAAGTGCCTTTTCATCTCAATGGTAATTTTAGCTCTTACATAAGGTTTTGAAGTGCTGGTTAGATGTAAAACATTTCCGGTGAAAGTGCACAGGTTAAAATAAGCAAAGTGTAGGTAATTTAAGTCACTCATGAAATTACATTTTATATTTGACAGCCAAATATACAGGTGAAACTCAAATTTAGAAGTATTGTGCAAAGTTGTTTCAGTAATTCAACTTAAAGGTGAAACTCGTATATGGACTCATTACATGCAAGGTGTATTACATTTTCAAGCCTGTTATAATTATGACTATATGGCTTACAGCTTATGAAAACTTCACATTTATTCTAATTTTGAATTTGATTTTCATAGCTGAAATATCTCACTTTGCATTTAAGTTGAATTACTGAAATAAAGTTTTGCATGTTATTCTAATTTTCAAGTTTCACCTGTAAACAGAAGGTGATAACAGAATAAATTAAAACCAAAGCATGATTTAGAAGTAATCATTTTTATTTACAAAAAAAAGTGTTACACAGCAAAAACAATGTACAACAGGTGTATACAGCCTAAAAAAGTGCATTACAGCACCTGAAGGTTATTTTTCCCTTACCAAAAAAAAAAAAAAAAAAACTTTATGGTGTGTAGCCAGTGATAGTGCAGTTTCCTACACTGTAGTCAAAAACTTCATTAGGCCTGTACGTGCATCAAGACCCTCGGCCTCTACAGTGGATGACAGTGCCCCGTCAGGCTGGTTGAATGTACCCGTAGTCCATTCTTCTCTGAACTCATCACCATTCATTTCACAGAGGTTATGCAGAACACAACATGCGATCACCAGGGATTTGACCTTGTGTGTATTGCAGTCATTTCGTTTTAGCAAACACCTCCATCTGCCCTTTAGTCTGCCAAAAGCATTCTCAACCACCACCCTGGCTCTGCTTGTTTTATGGTTGTACACAAGTTGTTGGGGTGTCAGTCGTCCGTTGTCGGTGAAAGGTTTCATCAGCCAGCTCTTCAAAGGATAGGCTGCATCACCAAGGACATAGTACCCCACATCATGTCCACAAATGTTCTTGGTTACATCAGGTAGTAACAAACCCCGATCCACTAGGTCCCACAATCCTGACAAACGTAGCACTCTGGCATCATGCAGGCTCCCTGGCGCTCCTAAAAAAACATTCCAAAAGAGGCCTCTTCCGTCCACAACAGCCTGTAGGATGATCGAATGCCAGCCCTTTCGGTTGAAGTACTCTGTGTGGTACTCCTCTGGTCCAAGAATGGGGATGTGTGATCCATCAATTGCACCTACACACTGTGGCAAACCCCATCTGCACTCAAAATACGTCGCCATTTCTTTCAACTTTTCACTGTTTGGTAACTGGATAACTTCTTGCATGAGTACCTTCTCAACAGATGAGCAGAAATCGTGAACACAGTGACACACAGTAGCAACTCCGACTCCAAATAAATGAGAGATGCTTCTATACTCAGAGTTGGTCGCAAGTTTCCACAGTGCAATGGCGATTCTTTTTTGAATGGGTACACAATGTCGGTAGTTTGTGTCATGTCTCTCCAGTTGGGGTTGCAATCGACGACAGAGGTACAGAAAAGTATCCTTAGACATCCGGAAATTCTTTATCCACTGTGCTTCGGTGAAAGTTGGAACCACGCTGTCCCACCATTCTGTTGTTCTAGTGTGCATCCAAACCGATCGCGAAACACGACGCATTCGATAGTACTCCCATATCTAAAACACACAAAAGTTGCAAAAAATAAGTTGATGTAATCGATAATAACATTATTCACAACTCTTGTTAATTTTGGTGGATTAATTTCTTACCAATCTTGTTCTTTCTGCCCGATGGCACGCGTTCGTCCCATCCATCTCACGGTCAATGTCCACTATAGCTGATAACAAACGTTGTCTACTTTTATATCTAGCATTACAAGCTTTCTGAATACGCTTTAGTATTAGTGCTCGTCTCTTTTCTGCCGTTTTGTTAATTACCTCGTTAGTAAACCAATAGATCGCACACAAAAGCAGCACAGCTTGAATATCCTCCATACTCAAAACAAACGCGTCGCGCAAACTGGGAGGGAGAAGCAGTCGCACGCAGTTCAACGTCACCAGACTAATTTACATAATCTTCCCGGTACTTTAGACCGCGGTGTAAACGCAGTAGGCAACCGGTCTGGGGCAAAAAAAAGTTCCTATGAAAAAAGTTCCTGGGACAAATAGTTCCTGGTAATTGCGGTGGAAACGCGGCTCATGTCAACCAGTATCTGACTTTCCAAAAAATCCCCAAGGATGGTCTTTTCAGAGCCAGTGGTATGCTGGTAACAACTGGCTAGAGTACTCTGTGGCTAAAGATGCCATGCACTGCTTTAGTTGTCGTCTCTTCTTGACAGAAGAAAAGTTTAAAGCCAGAACAGCATGGAGAACAGCTGGAGTTGTTAACTGGAGGAAGGCTGTTGAAAAGATAAATGAGCATGCAGCCACTGAAGCCCATATGATCTGTATGGTGAGGTGGGCCAACTATAGAAAGGGACCTTTAGTTGAAGCTTTTAAAGCTCAGGCTGCAGAATGTGAGTTACAAAGTGAAAAGGAAAGACAGAAAAACAGAGAAAACCTGTTTCGGTTGATAGACATCACAGTATATTTGGAAAGCCAAGGACTTGCATTTAGAGGCCATGATGAACGTAGCTCCAGTTCAAACAGAGGGAACTTCCTTGAGCTTGTGCACCTCCTAGCTGAATATGACAGTGTCCTCAGAATGAGAGTGTATCCAGGTGATTCAGTCGCACAAGAAGAAGCCACAGGTGACACTTTTATCCAACAGGACCCAAAATGATCTAATAAGATCTCTTGGAACACAAGTGAGGAATGTAATTCTAAAAGAGATTATTGAGGCCAAGATATTTTCAATTCTTTTGGATGAAACTACCGATGTGTCACACTCAGAGCAAGTATCCTTTGTGGTCCGGTTTGTCCATGACATGCAAATAAAGGAGCGCTTCATCCAAGTGTGTCAGGTAAAATCAACATGTGGCAAAGACCTAGAGGAAGTGGTAATGACCCTTCTTTCAGAAAATGGATTGAACGCTGAAAATATCCGGGGTCAAGGCTATGATGGTGCAGCTAACATGAGTGCTAGTTACAAGGGGCTGCAGGCCAGAATTCAGAGCCAAAATGAAAAAGCACTATATGTGCACTGTTTAAACCTAGTGTTAGTGGAGACCGCTAAATCAAGCCCCCATTTTGTGCGTTTTTTTAATTTGGTCGAGAGGCCCTACACTTTCCTGTCTTCTTCTAGCAAACGCCATGCTGCATTCATAGAAATGCAAAAATTGTTATATGCTGGAGAGAAAACCTGGGAACTAAAACGGCTGACCGACACACACTGGGCCTGTCGAAGGGCCTTTTTTCCAGCTGTTGAAAAAAATGTCAGACAGCAATCCACCAGATCCAGCTGCAGGTGATGCTCTAATGTTGTTTCGCAGCATAAATTTTGAGTTTATGCTTTGTTTGGAGGTGGCCACCACAGTGTTTCAGGAGACTGCTGTTGCATCAGCTGCTCTTCAGCGTAAAGATATGGATTTGGCAGTGTCATACACAGTGGTGGAAGGGGTGCTAAAAAGGCTTTAGGAACTGAGGTCAGAAAGTGAATTTAAAAATGTGTTTGAAAAAGCAAAGGAGAGGGCTGAGGTTGCTGGGATTGAGTTTGCTGACAAAATACCTGGTGAGACGAGACCCAGAAAAATACCTGCAAGGTATAAGTACAGTTCCAAGTCAACAGGGGAAGACCATCACCCTGACAGTTTGGAGGAGTTCTACCGAACAAGGGTATACTACACCTTTTTGAATACCATTACTCAAGAGATGGTCAGACGATTCAAAGGAAAGGATCATATTTCAACTGGCATTATCCTCAAAGGCTTACACAGTCTGACAGTAGCATCCAAATGGTCAAAAGGAGTGCAACCTGGTGATGTTGAACTTGTCAGAACAGTTGGCAAGTTCTATGGGATTGAGGAAGAAAAGACCTTCACAGAACTTAGAGTGTTTCATGCATCCTACTCCTTCCCCAAAAGTAATGTGCAGGAAATGCTAAAGTGGCTAAAAGACAATGAGATTGAGTCTGTTTTCCCCTCTCTTTCTGAACTCCTTAAAATATATGCAACATTACCTGTCTCCACATCTACAGTTGAACGGTCATTTTCAAAGTTAAAGCATGTGAAATCCAGTCTTCGAAGTCTTTGTAATGAAGAAAGGCTCTCTGCTACTACTCCTGCTCTCCATCGAGCGAGATATTCCAATTAATCGTGAGGAAGTCATTAATATATTTAAAACAACAACAGACAGACGGGTACTGCTTTAAATACAGGTGGTTTATTGAATAAATAATTACATTTAAATTCTGTAAAAAAAAATACAATTGATTGTTATTTGAAGTAATAATTTTTTTTGTGCCCTTTTTGGTCCCTCCGCCCCTGAGGAGGTCTGTGCACGCCACTGTGACTGATATATGACGATTTTTTTTTTTTTTTTTTTTTGAAAGTTTTGGACAAAAGCGTCTTTTAAATATGTAGCCTAAAATGTAATAATAATAATAATTTTTATTTAGGGATGTCCCGATCCGGTCACGCGATCGGAAATCGGGCCCGATCACGTGGTTTCACGTGACCGATTACCTCCCGATCAGGACTCGGATTTATGTAAATTAGGGGTGTAACGGTACATGTATCATACCTGTCAAGTATCCCGTTTTGGCCGGGAAAGTCCCGTATTTTACCCTTCTTTCCCGCCGTCCTCCCGTATTAGTATTTTCCCGTAAATCTCCCGTATTTTAACCTGCGTAAAAAATAATAATACCCCGGACGGAGTAAAAAAAACAAAAACATTCCCAATCTGAGCTCTGTCACTAGCCTCGCGATAACTACATGTAGGCTACTATAGGTGGCAGTTGTCGCGAGGTTAGTGTGTGAGGTCAGATGATGAGTGACAACCATAGACTGTAAAAAATAGGTGACAACGCGGGAAAAACAAACAAAAAAAGAGATGGATGATGGACGCTATGACAGAGACGGAAGGCACTCCTGCCAAAAAAACAAAACATGTAAATACCGCGATCAATGGGACAGCGAATTTTCTTTTCTGAAGAGGAGCAGGGTGGGGGATAGTCACGCTTTTTGTAACTGCGACTTTAGCATCTCACACGGGGGAAGGAATTATATGTCAGCACGAGAAAGGGTGTTTAGCATGGTACGAAATATTGTTACAGAGAATAGGATGACGTTAGACAACAGAACGGTTTGCTCTACACTCATGTAAAATTAACCACTCTGGCCCAGCCCACAAATACACTCCTTCCAAAACAGTCTTAAAGAATACAAAGTCTGCAACAAATTTGTCCAATAACTCACTAAAAGAATAAACAAAAGTTATGTGAACTGAAAAGAAAAACTGTAAAAGAAAAGCAATATGAAATGAAAAGAATGTGTGGAGTGAAAATAAAATGTAAATGTAAAGACAAGCAATGTTAAATGAACAGAAAATATGCAAATAAGCCTTTAAATAAATGCTCTTCATATAGGCCTATACCATATATATATACCACATATAAACCACATATATATACCACATATATACCACACACACACATGTTTTCATTTAGGCCAGCGGTTTTCAATAGGTGAGGCGCGCCTCCCCTGGGGGGCGCCAAAGAGCGAGTCAGTTTATAATACGTGACTTTTTTTTTTTCTTTTTTTTTGTAAGTCGCGTTAAAACAGCATGGGTACGGGTTCCTTTTCTAATAAAGGAGTGGTTTCAGTTTAATATGTTGCAGGCTCATTTATTGGTAATAAATAATAAATTATAATGCTGAAACTAAATAATCTAATAATATTGGGCTTGTTTTGGAAGCTCCCGTTGCTTATTTGTCTCGCGAGAGTTGGCAACTCTGGGCGCGACACGCGAATAAAAAAATAACTGTGCAGCCTTATTGATATCGGTAAATTCGTGTATTAGCTTTAAAAATTAAAATGCATCGTTTCCTTGTCCCAAGTCAACAGAAGAAAGCATTAAGAGAGGAGACAGTCAGGGGACCCAGCAAAAAACGTAGGAAATATGATCCTGAGTATTTAAAGTTAGGTTTTACCTGGTCGGGGTCCGAGGCTGCACCTCTGCCGCAGTGTGTGGTCTGCAAGGAGGTGCTAGCAAATGATAGCATGAGACCATGCAAACTTCGGCGTCACATTGACACTAAGCACACGAATTTAGTGAACAAGCCAGTTGAGTTTTTTGAGAGGAAGCGTGATGATTTGCAGTCTCAAAAAAGCATAATAAAGTCGTTTGGCACCATTAACATGAAGGCGACAGAAGCTTCTTATCGTGTCGCGCTACGTATAGCGAAGGCAGGCAAACCCCATAACATCGGCGAAACATTGCTACTCCCTGCAGCTAGAGATATGCGTTCAGTGATGCTGGGAGAAGCAGCTGCTGCTAAATTTGACGCGATCCCTATCTCTGACAATACCATCCAGCGACGAATATCAGACATGGCTTGTGATGTCAAAGAGCAGGTCCTGGACTGTGTTCGTGAAAGCCCCTTTCACGCCATTCAGCTGGATGAGTCCACTGACGTCGCACACTGTGCTCAATTGATGGTGTACGTTCGCTTTATCAAAGAGCACAGTGTGCAGGAAGATTTTTTGTTTTGCGTTTCTCTACCCGCCCGCACAACAGCTGACGAACTTTTCAAGGCCTTGAATAACTTTTACCAGGCTAATTGCCTTGACTGGGGCCGGTGTTGTGGGATATGCACTGATGGGGCAAGAGCAATGACTGGCCGTCACAGCGGTCTAGTAAAACAGGTGCAGGCAGTTGCCCCTGCGGCTGTCTGGAAGCACTGCATTATCCATCGACAGGCTTTAGCAACAAAAAGGATGCCCCAAGAATTGCGTGCTGTCCTTGATGAGGCTGTCAAAATTGTGAACTTAATTAAATCGCGTACCTTAAACGCCCGTCTGTTCTCAATCCTCTGCAATGAGATGGGCGCTCAATTCCAGCAG